GTGTTTGTTTGTGACTTGAACTAGTAACTTGGAACTTGTACTTTCTAATGTCTTTATGTTTGTTTGAAATATATTACTGCTCTGTGTGTTGTTTTCTTTCCCTTTGCGCTTTTGTCTTGCACTCCTTGCTTATTTATGTTCAAATTACATGCAATTGTAGTGTATTTTACTATTCATTTTGATGTGTAATCTTTTTTATCCTATAGTGTATGTTGCTACTGCATTATTTAGAATGCTCTTTTGCACTATTTGTCTTGTTCTTTGATTTTTTCCCCCAATTTTTATGAGTATTTATTTGTTTTTTTTGTCTCACTTTGAAATTCTTCCAATTTGCCTTTCATAGAAATAATCTTATATTTTTTGGCCTTTTTATTTGAAATTTGTATGCTTTATTTGCTTTCCCTTTGAAATTCTTCCAATTTACCCTTCATAGAAATAATCTGGTATTTTTTTGGCCTTTTCATTTGAATTTTGTATGTTTTATTTACTTTCCCTTTGAAATTTTCAATTTTCCTTTCATAGAATTAACCTGTTATTTTTTGGCCTTTTTAATGATTTTTTGTTTATTAGATTTGGTATTATTTTGAAATTTCGCCTTTGTTAGGCACTCTTTGTATTTATTTTTTATTATTTGTTTTTATATATATTTTAACATTTATTTGATCTTTTATATTTGGTTCCTTAGATCTAGATCATGTGGTTAGGGAATCAAGTGTTCTGTAGCCTTGAAACACTCAGATTCTATTAGCTTGGTAAAATTGAGTGTTTGGAAAGGATCTGACACTCACTCGGTTGTCAGATCCTAGAACACCCGAAAGACTGACTCTCTATACAAAATCCTTAGATTAGATGGCGACGCCATTGCTAAACGATACAGTGACACAGGCAAAATACCTCTGCGGCAGTGCCGGCGGCCTTTGCACGCCGACTATGCTGGCCCCCGCGCGCCGCCCGCAGCCGCACCACCTACTCCGTCCTCGACGACGACGACGTCCCGTTGCCGCCGTCGACTGGTCCCTCGACCTCGACGCCGCACGCGCCGGTGCCTACGCAGGTAGAGGAGGAACGCGAGGAGGCCGAGCAGCAGGGCGAGGCTGCGGACGAGGCGGCAGCGGCGGCGGCTCCATCTCTTTCTTGCCCGCCCCCGCGGTGACCGCAATGGCCGCGGCTGTTGTTGGCGCGCGTCGGCGGACGGTGCCTCTCCTCCGCCCATCGCTGCTCTGCCGCGCACGGTGTTGTTTGAGCCGGGCGAACCCAAGGAATATGTTTAGGAGGGAGGGAGCTGATTTCAGGGGACGATTGAGGATCGTGTGTCGCAGCTATAAAGACTACGTGGTACACGACGTGCAGTGTTTTCTTGCAGGCACAGTTAGGAATCGCAGATCGGGTCCGGAGTTCGGGCACGGATGACGGATCACTGATGTTTATAAGGCTAGTCTCTAAGGTCAGAGTTTCACGTAAGTTTCATTCGAATTAAATAAGTTGACACGTACTTCCTCCGTATTTAAAAATAAAGTTGTTTTGTACAAGGCTTGGGTCAAACACTGGAAATATAAATCATGAATAAGTTTTAAGTTGTTGAGTTTGGAAATCTAAACACTATAGGTATAGATTTGTCTTGAAAAATACTTTCACAAAAATTTACATATATCACTTTTTAATAAATATCTTTATAAAAATAAGTAGTCAAAGTTATGCTTTGGAAACCGTGTCGCTGTCCAAAACAACTTCAATTTTTTTTTAGTATGGAGGGAGTAGGTATTTTTGATGACACGACAGTGTATTTAAGAAAAGAGAGAAGAAATGAAACTCTTTTGGCATGATTACCAAGTATGGATGAGTCATGAAATTAAATGCCTATGAAACTATAAAATAAAACTTTACATTGAGAATGGTGTTTTATCCAAGTTTCATTGTCTTGAAAATAACGTCGTAAAACTATTCACTGAGACCGGCCTAAGTGAAAAAAATGGCAAACACGTGCTTAAAAAAATCACATAATCGATCTGTTTAGAGAACTTCTTTTTTGAAAGTAAAAGGTGTCTGCTTAATTTAGAGAACTTTATTTATTTGAATGATGAACCACGAGAACCAAAGTAGCTAGGATTATATCCACATGAATTTAACCATGCGGATCCTATCCTAGCCCGGCACTGCAGCACTACACTTCCGACATCAGAGCAACACGGCATTATTTCCAAGTGTTGTCCACACGACTACCACGAGACACGTCAGAGTCTTTTATTCGGTCGCCATACATAGAACTACTACTACTTCGCAGCTGCAGCAGCTATATATATGTCAGCACGTACGCACGCAATTAGACACGTGAATGAAGCAAAAAACACTACACCAGCGGCCTCGTCACTTCTTGCACACCAGGCCAGTGGTGACCTCGCCGCTGCCGCAGGGCGCGTCGGTGGGCTCCTCGATGATGCCCACGGCGGGCCCGTCGTCGTCGCCAGCGAACCGCCCGACCTCGCAGTCCGTGGCGAAGATGCCGCCGGACACCTGGTACCTGCGGGCGCCGCCCATGACGGGGACCCTAGCGCCGGCGTCCACCCCGGCGGCGCTGACGTAGTCCGGGCGGTAGGTCTGGCCCAGCACGCCGTGCACGTCGGCGCTGAGCGCGTAGAACTTGAACGCCACGTTGAGGTGCGCGAGGCTGCCGTCCTCCTCGGGGCGCAGGCCGTACCCGTGGACCCTCGAGTCCTCCTCGGTGACCGGCACGGCGTTGGCCACGATCCGGAACACCCCGTCCAGCCACACCACCACGCCGTTGGCGGGGCCCGTGCGGAAGATGGACAGCGCTGGCGCCGCCGACGTGGGGCTCCAGCTGGCGCCGGCCACGGCGTCCAGCGGGACGGGCGCGCCGTCGAAGGTGATGGCCAGGCGGTCCACGGCGTCGTCCCAGGTGGCCGTCCTCCGGACGCCGAGGTACAGCCGGTGCCCGCCGAAGCGGATGCCCAGCGCCTGCACCCAGGTGAAGTCACGCGCCACGCCCGCGTTGTTGCGCTTGCCGATGAAGTGCGCGTTGATGTGCAGGTTGGCGTCCGACAGCAGGCAGAAGTCGGCGTCCCGGCGGCCGTGGAACAGGAACTTGTTGCCGTCGCCGCCCACGAAGCGCGGGTCGTAGCACTCCGTGCCGGTCAGCTCACACACTGCTCAAAATCACAAACTGATCAAAATCTTTGAGCAGGATAGAGCGAATGCGTAGAGTATGTATGTGTGGACGCTTACGGCAGACGAGCTTGCAGGACGGGCAGTGGACGTAGCAGGTGTCCCGGCAGCCGCGAGGGCACTGGAGCGCGAGGACGTTGCACTTGGGCTCCGACCCTTGCTGCCCATGGGTGTCGTTGTAGCAGGTCACGTAGGTGGGGGGGTATACGGGGATCACGTTGGGGTCCGACGAGATGGGATTCTTAGGGTCCATCGGCTGGGCTCCCACTGCCACGGCGAGGAAGGAGAAGGCGAGCAGGGCCACGGCGAACCGCCGGACGGACGCCATCTCAGTTTGGGTGCCTGCCGGCTGAGACCGGAGATGAGACGACGATGATAGGTGAAGGTGGACACGCTGATGTGAGTGGCACGGTGTGTAGTAGGCCTTCTTTATAGTCGGGGTGAGGGGGTGCAATGCGCCATTGTCTCTGACTAGAAACAGTGTCGTTGGAACCAAGCATGGCTTTTTCATGGATCAAGTCTCGGGAAGTCAACTGTTCACCCGGATCACATGAAACGATTCCATGCTTGTCATGCCGGGCAACACAGGCGAGAGGGATAGTCAGAAGATGAAACGAACTGACGAAATCTAGCTGTCTGTTTTGTTCTTGATAATGGCGTGGAGTGACATCCTCTCCACGTTACCACAAACAGAATATACATGGTCAGCATCTGCACCGATTCAGCTTCGAGTTCTGAAAACCATGATACTGCTAAAACTTCAGAAACTCCACATCTCTCTAAACAAGGTTTGGCGCATATCTTGTTCTAAAATCAAAGTTTGTTGATAGTTGATACTACAATTTCTCAAAACCACAACATCCAAATATGGCCTTGTTTGGATGTACTTTTCGAAAATTGTGATATTATAAGCCAAAGATATACAAAACCGTGGGGTTTTGAAAAAGATGTCATGAGTGAGAGTTACTAAAAACTCCAAAAACTACAGTTTTAACAAAATGGCTTTATAAACTACAAGATTTGTTATATCCAAACAGTCCATAGCTTTTAAAAACCAAGTATTTTGCAAGACCGTAGTTTTCTCCAAAGCTCCAAAAATACTTTGCATCCAAAGAGGGCTAGACCGTAGTTTTCTCCAATGCTCCAAAAATACTTTGCATCCAAAGAGGGCTAGGTGTAAATGGAAAAACACACGAGTACGGTGCAATCTTTAGGGGAGGTGTCCAAAGAGGGCTAGGTGTAAATGGAAAAACACACGAGTACGGTGCAATCTTTAGGGGAGGTGTAGTTGTGTAGGGCACGACCCTAGATGCACATGTTGCAAAGAAATTTTAGCTTTATTAACTGCTATAGTATCATGGTTCAGGTTTAGGCGTTTCGGATGTTACTCTCCTAACAAGTCATCCCGAGTCTGGACCACACAGCTGGGCTACCGTTGGAGTTTGCATATTGCACACAACGTGTATTGTAAATCCACAATTTGCATAGATTGAGTGTGTTTGCCAACTTACTCCACTAATATAGAAAACACAAACTGTCGTTAACTCCTGAAGGGAGGCTATGAAATAGCCATAATCTAAATAGGCACTCGAACAATGGGGAGGACAAGTGGCTGTCATAAATCACAAAGTGGAATGTAACTGTATCATCACCAGATACATGATTTTAACATTTTGCAGGTATGTATAAGCAAAATCACTTGTTAGCAAATTAAGTGGCTAGTTGGAGGCAGAGTACTGTGGAAGTTAAAAAGTGTGTAGCATTGCTGATAATACACCTCAAGCAACAATATTTCTCAAGTTTGAAACAATGATACTAACCTACCAAAAGAACCACTTCTTCCCAGCTGGAGATTTTGTCCTCTCCCCTGTAGAACTTTGGTTCTCTCGTTTTGCCATGCCATGGTTCAGTGCTTCTAGCCTTTTCCTGCAAAAAACAAAATTACAGATTTAGAAGTATATAAGTACAGACTGTTAAGACAATGGATACTTTCATTTGAAGCTAGCATTGAAGCACTTTAGTGACAGTATATATTGCTTTGTTCAGTAACTTGCAGACAGTAGATCTGCACTCTTTAGTATACTATTCCAGAGCAAATGCCACATCGGTAATATGTTGGCAAAACCAAAACAGAAATTCAATAGGGAATATTGATTAATCAAGAAGGTAAAACAACAATGTAGATGGACAGTGATGACAGGAATAAGAAACTATGTACCACTGTAAAGATGTATCAAGTCACTCGAGGGCAGAACTATACGTATCTGTGTATAATCAATTAAATTTGCTTTCCTGTTAATGATGATCACATAGCGTTTCTGTGCACAATACATAACTGAAGCTTAGCCAAAGTTGGCATGATCATTTCAGATGCTTGATTTTGTAAATTAGATCATTATCGGGATTTGAATTATGAAGCTACTGGTTTTATGTTGATCATTGTCATTCCAAATCAGAGAGAGGTAAGTACCATTAACCCACTATGTCATAGTTCATATTTACTAGAAAAATCCTTTCAACTGTTATAGAGTAACAGAAATTAACACAAGCTAGTATGTGACTAGTACAGAATCAAAACAGCTACCTTGTATCTTCAAGCTGTCCGTGCAAGCTCCATCTCTGTCGAAATCCTTCCATACCCTCAAGTCCACTAGCAAGAATCATGCGCCTACAAAGGCATATAAGACCACATGCAAGCAGAATAAAGCTACATGAATGAGTCAATAGGAAATTCAATATGGTTCACGATTCCCTCCATTTACTGTAGTGTAACTAACATTAAACAAAATAAAATGTCTCCAATTTTAAAATAAAGTTATGTAATATTATTTTAAATCAGATCCACATGCATATTTAGGGAATTTTTTTATTACTTTTGCCCTCTTTTATTTAAGAATTTTATTTGACCTCTCAGCATTTATGAATAACATCCACACTAACCATTGTATCTACTATCACGTGGTCCCAAGAGATTTAACACTAAGGATCCCAGACATGTCACTTCACATTCTCTTTGTTTGTCACCTAATTCTTGTGCTTGACCAAAATATGCCTTACAAAAATGGAACCAACAGGGTACAGCTGTAAAATATCATCAGGGCTAGTTTTACTAGCGCATTCTTTTGGAATGTCCGGTGTTACACGTATGTGTGTGGAACACCAGAATAAGCACTACTTGTCAGAACAAATAATTGGTGTACACATGAAGGTCTAGGGGCTCCTTCCTACAATAACAGTATGTTAAGTAGGATCTGTGCAGCTATCTCAAATGCCAAAAGATTCGCTCAGGATTTGGTGAAACATAGGATTTTAGGGGGTGTAGGGGCTATGAATCTAATCTAAAAGCACAGAAGCATACTGTACAAAGATGTTTACATTGTGTGTTTTGTTTTTCATGATTCATAATTCTTTGGCAACAGTCAATAGAGCTCTGTGAGGTCAAGTAGAAAATTTATCCTAAAAATAGATATAGGAAAAATAAGAAAATATGTATTTGGCACAATGAAGCTAACATGCATTGAGAGCAGCTATGATCTGTTGTTTCTCATTAAGAGCCTGGGCCTAGGATCTCAGGAACTTGGTCTTGGGAGTAGTCTAGTTTTTCTTTCTCCCTGGTTCTAGTGGTCATCTCTCTCCTATCCGTGGTGTGATTGTTCTTATTTTCTAGTGCATGTGGATATGTAGAGTGTGTGCGTCATGTTTTGCGTACTCTCTGTTACTATTTCCTTTTTAATGAAATGACACACAGCTCTCCTGCGCGTTTAAGACAAAAAAAAGAACATTAATGTTTAAGGTAGACAGAACACACTTAGCTTCCTAATATGTTGGAGGATTAGACTTGATAGAAATGGTTGCCGGCATCCCATTATGTTTACTACCATCACTCTCTAAAAAAATATGCAATTCACCCCAGTAGTGTTGCATAAGCTTTTGCTCATAAAATAGTCAATTCCTATATTGAAGCTTGCTACAATGCAATTAAATCTAATAGGTGCAATAACTGTCAAAGCAACGAGGAAAGCAAACAGTTGTATGCTATGTAAGCATCAAATGGCTTAATAATGGATTATGTGACAAAATCACAAACTAGACTACCACGTCCACAGGACAAATATTTCGTATGGGAGTTTAGACATCCATTGATATAGAAGGTTACATCAAATTTTAAAAACACTACCATATGTATTGGTGAATCTTCTGAAAGCTTGTTGGATCAGTATACACACTTGGATTATCCAGATTAATGGTGAAGAAATTAAAATTCCAATGCACATGTTCATGCCAGACTCCTTACCTAGTTACTAGTGTCAATGGAGAGGAAAAACCTTGATACAAATGCATTCCTTGTTAAGTGTATCACTCCACTACAGTTCCTAAATGTTTTATGAGAAAAAAAAAACTTTGAAGGTTCATATAGCAGATAGGATCATAATCATAGGAATACCATTTCACAAGCTGCTTATCACATGATCATTGCTATGATTGATTAAAGGGAAACTCGTCAGTACTGAACTACCTTTCTAGCAGTGTTACTTCTGATTGGAGTTGAGTAGCTCTCTCCTTCGCTTGTTCCAGGGGCATTGAAAAACCCAATTTATATTCACTATTTTGCATCCGCTCTCTTATTTCCTTGTCCTGTTATAAGACACAATGCTGTACTGTTGAATAAACACCAAATAAGATCAGGCATGGCCAAATGGTCTTAGTATAACTACCCTTTTCTCAGCACATTGTCGGTATAACACAATTTCATCTTGGCAGAATGGCTCAATATCATTGATTTGTAGGCCTGGACAATAGAAATAATGTTTTTTCTATAGAACACTTCCTTCACAAATGCACACGGAATAAGAGAAACATGATATCAATGTCACAAAAACCAGTTACTCACATAAGAAAAGGTTCCTGAGTATACCATCACAAAGCTCAACACCTTCAAGGACATGTGATGCGATCTCTTTCGGTATGACAGGGGATGGCGGCCCGCGCATGAGATCATCACCAACAAGGATGGTCTCCTCCATTGTTTCTTGCTTATCAACTGTAAGAAAAATAGTCATGAGAAATTGACCGCATGATACAGAAGCTATAATCATTCCACAAAGTTGAAGGCTGCAAACTGCGGTTGGATTCAGCAAAGCTGAGGTACTCACTATAAACTGAAGATTCAAATTGTTTTCCTACTTGTTTATATTCTTTGATGGCATAAATCAACTAATCAGCAAAAGAGCTTTTTATCATCCACATCTCATTCATTTATAAATACGAAACCTATTCTGCTCAATGTGTTGCAGCGCAACATTGCGCATTGTGCGCCCCTTCTATACTCCTTTTGCAATTAAACTTTACTACTTCATTCCCAGATTATGTGCTATTTCCACGAGCAGTTCTTATATTAACCTGCCTGACATCACCTTTAGCACAAGGGCTTGGCACCTAGCTAACAAACCATTTAACAAAAATCTTACTCCCAACCCAACACTAGTAACCGGCTACCAATCTATCTGACTACCCCCCAAAATTGACACCACATAACTTATGTAAATAGGGATGAAACTGGATCGGATACGAATGGATATTGCAGATCTCAAATATGGTGTCGGATGCAGCAGAGATTAATAACTATTCCATATACATATAAGAAATTTAACTTTGACTATTCAGATTAGGAAACAGCACGGATATTAAATGTCCAGATTCATATAGGGATTATCCATGTAGTCTTTAAGCCCTTTCGGGACAGACAGATATCGGGAAATATCCGTCCCATTTTCATCCCTACATGTAAGTAACAAGAGAGAAGGTGTGCCCTTACCATCCATGGTGGCTGATTAAGCTCGCACACCCCCAGTGAACAAGCAACCTGAGTCAGTTAACACCAACCCTGCAGCAATGGCGGGAGAGGGTCATCAAATATTTTTTACAACCTAAAATGTAATATTTGGCAATGTATAATACCATATAGTAGTAATTGTATAATCACAGCAGATATAACACATATTTAAGCACGATTTCATATAATTGAACATAACTTGAAATTGTTTAACATAGAAGTACCAACTGTTCAACATATCAAAGTGACAATGTCTGAAATATAGAGAGGATATGAAACAACAAAAATGATTAAAAAAACTTACAAATTACAAGCCAACTCAACTTGCTCTAAGTAATTCTCACATGTTTTAGCTCTGCTCCTTTGAAGTCATTCACAAATTAACTCCAATAATAATAATAGAGAAGCCAATTGAGTGATTTATTACCAAATTAATAACTTACAAATTCAATTCACCGGTGCTGGTGGACAGGACAGGTGGAGTGGTAGCTCATTCGCTCTGCTCCAATCGGCAATCGCCCGTCGCCTTGGCCTCTCGGTGCCGCCCAGCGCCGCCGGCCGCAGAGGCTCCAATCTGCAGTGGCTCACCGGCTCTGCTCCAATCGGCGGAGTGGCAGACCGCCGGACACCCTACGCTGAGCGCTCGGTGTTCGAATGCCCGCCCTGCACGCCAGGCGCGGCCACCCGCAGCCCCAGGTCACCGCCGTCCGCCGCAGCCGCCAGGGTTTTGGAAATGTGGGGGAGAAGTGAAACGGGAGAAGAGAGAAGACAGGAGGAAGGACCGAACAAGTCGGCGACTCGGGTTACTCGCGTGTGTGCCTGCGCGTGGGCCCTTGGCGGCGGGGAAGTCTGGGAGAAGCTGGGCCTATGGCTAATGGGCCTGGTTGGGCCTGCCCGTAAGGGTTTCTGCGAGGTGCAGTATAAATAGCAGCTCCTCAAACCTCACTAGCCCCTTGCTCGCAGAAACCCTCCGCCGCCGCCGCGCCGCTACTTCTCAGCTCGTTCCTTCCACGATCCAGGTACGTCGTCTCAATCCTCTCCTGTTTTTACGTATCCTGGTTCCTGTTTACGTGTCCTTGTTCGGGATCATTGCAGCGAGCGATCTGATTGTTGGTGTTGGGGTTTGTTAGTGCTGGTATATTTGGTGCAAAATGCATGGTTTCAAGTGTTATATTGACGCTGTAGATTAGATTTTTTTAGGTGAAACAAGGTGTTTTGCGATGCTTTTTGGTTGTGGAGGTTCGGGTCTGGATGAGTTGTTTAATTTGTGCTCTGTACTCTGATCGAATGTTGACAATTAGGACTAATTATATTTGGCTTGTGTTATCGAATTATTAGCCTGGTTTTACAAGCAGGCGAAACCATGGTTAAGATTTGTTGCGCCACTTAACGTTCTCTATAGTAGATGTGTCTCGGTTTATATCGATTCATGTATCCGGATTATGGAGATCCGATGGATATTTCCTGGGCCCCTGAAAAAAAAAAGCCAAAACATTGTTCCGGCTGATTTGTGAGAGAAAAATACTGTTCCGACTGAAAAAACAAGCTGAAAAAGACGGATTATAAGAGAAGCGAACGGGAAACACTTAACTTCATTGTTTTGCAATTACACGTAGATTTCCTTTTCTTATAGATTTGCTATGTGGTTTCAATTTGATTTGTAGGTTAATTTGTATAATCATGTCATTGAGTTTGCTGAATGTACTCATGTTGATTCACTATATATGTCTTAATTTAGTTACTTTCATTCATGGTCCTAAAAACATGGACTAATTGTGACACTACTTTTGGCTTGAGCAGGATGAAGTTTGTTGCTGCCTATCTGCTTGCTGTCCTCGCTGGCAACAATGACCCCTCTGTGGAGGATCTGAAAACTGTTCTGGAGTCAGGTAGTTACATTTAACTGAATTCCCGTTACAATCTTTTATTATTCTTAATTAATTTATCTTCTTTCTGTCAAAAGAAGACATCTAGTTTGGCAGATGCTTGATTGTAGAATGCTGATAAGGTTGATCATTTACTCAAGTGTTTGATTATATTTTTTTCTGTGTTGAATTGATCACTGCAATACAAATACGCTCTTATGATATGATGCATTCTGTGTATAATTAATTAAATTTCTTATTGTTGCAGTTGGTGCTGAGATTGACACTGATAAGATGGAACACCTGCTGTCCCAATTGAGTGGCAAGGACATCACTGAGCTCATTGCTGCCGGTAGGGAGAAGTTTGCTTCTTTCCCTAGCGGTGGCGGTGGTGTGTTGCTGTTGCAGCAGCTGCCCCTACTTCTGGTGGTGCTGCTCCTGTAGCTGAGAAGAAGGAAGAGAAGGTGGAAGAGAAGGAAGAGAGTGATGATGTAAGCTCACACAGCATTGTTCTCTATGTTTTCTCATGACCAAGTACCTTATTTCATGTTAGTTTGTGATTTCACTCCAAATGCCATCATGGTTTATTTTAGGCACCAGTCGTAATAACACTGATCTATTAAACTGACCTCAGCCACTTACTGCTGTTGAACATTTATTTTCAGGACATGGGCTTCAGCCTGTTCGACTAAGTGCTGTGACATATCGTTATCATCAGGGCACAGGAAACCAGTCATGATGTCGGAATTTTAACCTTGTAGGAGACTATGAAATTTAGTATGTCAGTGTTGGATGTTATGCTGGTTGGTTTGCTGCTGAACCAAAGTTTTGCTACCCTATCTCGATGTTTTATTATGAATTGAGTAGCTTCAGCAATGAGCAATGTTGCATGGTTATTTCTGTTCTTTTTCTGTCTCAATTCATTCAGTTCTTCCTGATTGAGATGGACTAATTTGACTCGTTTAATTCTTGGTTGACAGTTTTAATATAATTTGTTGCGATTGTGACCCATCGCTGATATTTTCTGTAATATCTTTGATTTAGCTTTAATCGAGACTATGATCTTGCCTCCTTAGAATACAAAAGCGTAGTTGAAATATAGATTTGCCTATTGTGACCTTGTCGCACGAACCCGCAGCATGTTTCGGCCGAGGTTGAGTTTTGCACTCCAGTTATCATATCAATACGAAACAATGGGCCTGTTTGTGTTAGTAATGCAGAAATTTCATAAAAAAATTGTGTAGATTTCACTTGAATCAGTTTGAATTCATAGAAAATGTAGGAATATGATTTTTTTTCAAGTGTTCCAAACAGAACCTCAATCCAAAATTTTCAAGCGTTCCAAACCTGCCCACGATCCAGAAGTAGTTATTAGGAAGCTACAGTATATTGTGATTTTTAAAGACCTGTCCAGTACAAAGAAAACCTCACGTGCATGTCGTGGGCGTACTGTGTAATTCTCAAAAAAATATTCTCAAAAAAATATTTGATGACATGTTAGGTCTATTTGTCATCCAATAAACCTCTCCTCTCCTACCTGTTTCTTTCTCTCATAGCGCCACATCTCACATCTACTCTCTTAGCATTTGTCGAAATCCTTAACGCAGGATATCTTGTAGCAGCTTTTGCCTTAAAATGTCAGTGGTAGCGTGCTACAGTAAAATGTAAGGAATTGTCATTTTTTTTAAAAAAAAAGTAAGGAATTGTCAAGTTTACTCCAAGGCTGGACTCTGTATATATCTACGTGATGTTTAGAATGATCCTGTCCAAAACGATGTTCTGTGATAAGAAGAAAAATTATTTGAAGTTGATATCAGCCCTGTTCGCTGGGAGAAATTTGAAGAAATCTGGAGAATTTGTGAGAGAGTGAACAGTGAAAACCATCCGTTGACAGTGAAATCCGGCTGGTTTTCTTACCAGCCGAACTGCCCTATCATGTAATGTGGTACAGTAATTTCATATGGATACTATACTTGATATAATTTTGTGTCTTTAGTTCTGATGAGCCTCTTCATGTCTTCTAAAGCCAGATGTGGCCGATGTCCAGTTTCTTGTCTCTGTTAAGATCTCATCAGCGGAAACTGCAGGAATGGAGATTGTTCTGGGACGATGAAACTGCACACTGCTTTTCAGGATTGAGTCAAGCGAAAGGAATTGTTGGCGTCCATGTAATTGTCAGTTCTGCGGATATATGCACTCACCTGCTATGTGCTACGGCGTATTCTGAACATTATAGTACTACCGGTACCCTTTTTTAGGATTCATAGATGATGCGGATTCGAATGAGGCCCCGTTCGACTGGCTGAATTTTGGCTGAAATTGGTTGAAAAACACTGTTCTGATTGAAATATTGTGAGAAAAAAACACTGTTTTAGTGAAAAAAAAAGTCAAATAAACCGGATTTAAGGTAAGCACAACGGGGCCTTCAGTTCCGTAAGAGAGCTTTTCCATCTAAAATGAGCTAATTGAGAACGATGCCACAATACATCGCTTTTCTGAAGGGTAGAAACCGCAGGTGAACTCTTTGCGCGCGCTTATCATCGGAGCAACAGGCGTCATCCACGCTGATGTACTGGGCATCCGCAGACGGGCCTGTAGCCTGTTCTGTTTCTGAAACTCAGGTTCAGAAATGTCTGTTGTTGCTGTTGCACTTGCACAGCTGCCACAGCATCATCTGAGTTCTTACCTGGACAATCGGCCTGTTCGGCAGGCTGGCTGCCGCACCAGCCGAACGGCTGGTCTTATACGCGTTGCTCGGTCGCGTCTCTCACTTTCTCCCCTTTCTCCCATCGGTGGCTAGGGTTCCACGCACACGCGCCGCTCCTCGCCATCGCTCCGCGCATTTACCGGCGGTAGTCCGCGCCGCGTCGCGTCAACGGGCGGCGTCGGTGGCCACCGGATCCGGCGTGGCCGCCTCTATACGCCGTCCTCCTCGCCGGGGCTACGATTACCGTGTCGTCGTCCTCTTCCCCCACCCCGCCTCCATCGACGGCGCCTACGGCCAGCCAGGTAACCCGAATCCCACGCCTCCGTCCTCTCACCTGGCCGCCTCTGAGCCGCAACTGGTCGTCTTGTAGTTTGACCTCCGCGCGGATAGGGTTTCCAGCCGCACCAGCCGAACGGCCGTCTTATATACTCTGCTGTTCGCCGCGCCTCTCACTTTCTCCCATTTCTCCGTCGGTGGCTACGGTTCCACGCTGCACACACGCCGCGTCGCCATCGCTCTTTTTCGGCGGTAGTCCGCGCCATCGTCAACGGCGCGCGGTATACCGATTCGGGCGTGTCGCCTCAGACGCCGGCCTCCTCATCAGGCTACGATTAACGTGTCGTCGTCCTCTTCCCCCACCCCGCCTCCATCGACGGCGCCTCGCCCCGCCTAACGAATCCGCCTCCGCCCTCTCACACGCCGCCTCGAGCCATGGCAATCGTCGTCTTGTAGTTTGACCTCCGCACGGCTAGGGTTTCCCTCACTCTCGTCGGCCTCGGTGATAGTGGTATCGGCCTCCCTCCCCGGATCCCGCCTCCATCAACGGCGACTCCTTCCAGAACGGTAAGCCCCCGGAACCCGACGCCGGCGCAGTTTGACCCCGCCGGATCTGAGATCCAACATGTACTCATGTCTGCTCCTCTATGTGTCCGATAGAAATCCCCACATCTTGTTTCTATATTACAGAAGTGCTCTACGTACATATTTTAGGTCTATGTTTCTGAATACTTTCCGAACAGATCTAGCAGATGATGCTTAATGGCTTAGTTAACCTTCGAATCACCTTTTGCTAACCGTTGTTTGGGTTTGCAGTCAATTTTTGCTACTAGTAACATATTTCCCGAACCATTTATGGTTATTAACGTTCTCATCTTGTTTGGTCGGTTTGTAAGGTTGCGCTCGGTATAGTGTTGAGGTGGAGCTGCAAGATGTCATGTCATTTGTTTGGTGCACATGTTCTATAATTTTGTTTGGCAACTGGTTGGCCATGAGCTACTTAGTTAGGCTGATCCCCCTGATAACATAAATGCTCTTTAATTACTCCTGTTAATCCATCTGTTTTGTGCTACCTCGATGTCACCATTTGGCCACGGATGATTACGACTTGTAGTGGTAATTAGGAGCTAAGAAGTATTTGAGAGCAATTTAATGGAAGCTTCGTCGCAAGCTTATGTTGTTAATGTATTGCTTTCCTCATTTGCCTTCATCGAGAAGCTAAGTTAGTTTAGTTATTTTGCAAAACGGCATTTTCCTTAACTTAGTTTCTCAGTTTTGTTCGATTGATTTGGCTGGCATTGAATTTGTAACATGTTTGGAGTAGTAGTCGATTTCTGATGTTATTAACTTTGTTCCTGTGCGATATAGGGTTATGTCCTACGAATTATCGAGTCTAATGATTCATTGTTGTGTTAAATGTCAAACAACAATTCAAGGCAACTATGTCTATCCCGCCAATCTACAACTCTTTTTCAGCTCCAGTCAAGCACTCAGCAGAGCTACGTGCAATCAACAAAACCCAGTTGATGCATGGAATCTACTGCAATACCCATGGTTTCTAGATTACAAAATGTGCTTACCTATTGCAAAAATTTGATTTAAGATTGCAATGAACACGATATTTACAATGTCCACAGATCTTCACCCCTTTAAATGTTCAATTTTTTAGATTATGTTTTTCATCTTACAAGTGTGCTCTATGATTGCACTGCAGACATAGAAGGGACGTTTCATCCGGTTGTGATCAACGCTGCCCAAACTGGTAGCGTCGTTGTCTTCGTCTTGCTCTCCAACTGCTGGCAGCCACTACAACCTCCGCTCAAACCGCCGCAAACGGCCACAAAAGGCAAGTTAGGGATATGATTTGTCAATTTGTTGTTTGGATTTGGGGTTTAGTTCTCTTTTGGTCATGTTACAGTGACAATGAATGGTGGTCCTTACGCACCATGGTCATTCTTGTGGTTAATTTGCTTGCTTCATCTCTTGCTTTTCACCATGAAATTTTGTATGTATGCTGAGTTTTCAGTTTCCATTAGATTCTTGCTTGCTTCTATCAGATTCTAATACATTGCTCAATTTTCAGTTTCCAACATACAGTAGATTCTTGCTTGTGGGACAGTCCTTAAGACATCAAACCTTTGTGATTTTTAATTAAAAATTTGGACTTTGTGATTCTATGTTGCCTTGGTTTTCCCTGATGAACAATCTTGGCTTCGGCATTTCCCTGATGGACAATCTTGGCTTCGGCATTTTAATTAAAAAATTGGACTTTATGCTTATACATTGCTCAATTTACTGAGTTCCATCCTCCATTATGTTGACATAAGCCACATGGCTGTGATTTCTCTCTCTTTTTTGTGTGTGTTGGCTTAGTTTTTAGTTTCCAGCAGATTCTAATACAATGTCCTAACTAGTGATTACATTTTGGTATTGGTGCATTACTAATAGCTTTGTCGATCCTTGAATCAGATGAGCCAGGACCGTGCTTGCTGGGATGACAGAACAACCTCTCTGCTTCTTGACCTAATCATCAAGCAAAAAGACCTCTGTCACTGGACCGGTGCCCATGGTCCAACCTCACTAGGGTGGACCAATATCGTTCATGCCTTCAACGAAGTCACGAACCTCGGGTACAACAAGAAAGTGTGCCAGAACAAATACAACGAGCTGAAACGTTGTTACTTCAATTGACGCGACGGACAGACCCAT